ATCACACATGTTGGTGTGCTGCTTCCATGTGGGCTTTGTTGCTTCTGGGCTAGATGGCCGCTTGTTTACTTTCAAGACTTTAAGTCCCCAGACGCTATAGGTCTCGATAGCCGGGCACCATCAGCTATTTTTCATAACATATTAATTATACTTATTTCATTTCAATTTTCAAAGAGGTGGTGCAGTACACAAATATCGCTATATTTAAAGAAACACAAACACTGAAGCATACTTCAATATGAGTCCCATGAAGCTTCAAATATTTTCAAGTACCACTTAATTATCCTAACATCAGTTGTCCCTCCTCATTGCACTTAATATATTTAGGGTGCTATAGAACCGTATTGATAATACTTTCTGTCAGACTCAAAAGACATTGAAGTTGCTTCTTTTTTCCTGTGCTATATCAACTGTTTGCATAATTCCCTTTCCATGATCAGAAACTGAAAGCACAAAGCGAAATCACTGTTTTATTACTGTCGTATACAGACTGTCTTCTTGTGTCTGGGTTTTTCTAAGCAGGAAACAAACAAACAAAAAGTTATTCTCCATAGCATCCATTTATCCTGCCATTTGAAAGACAGGTGGCTGTAAAACTCCAGTTTGTTTCTTTTTTTTTTTTTTAACAGTGATAAAATATACGTTTATTTACTTTGTTGAATCAGAAGGGCATAAAAAAATTATTGCTAAAGTCGACATCAGGCAAACAGAAAGGTGCTTCATAGTCCAGTTACTGTGGAGTTTATTTAAACTAAGAGAAAAGGTCACAATGCTTTCATGCAATACATACTCAGTTCTTTAAATAACAATGATGACGAATAGCAGAAGGAGTTAAGGAATGCTAATGCTGTACTTGTGATCCATAAAAACACCAACATTTTGGGTTGTACATAATTAGGGAAATATCTCAAACACTTTTCAAAATACTGTTATAGCCAATACATAGAGGCATGCCTTTAGGTGGGCAAAGGAATGCAGTTTAGAAAAGGAAAATCAACAACAAAAACTATTCAATTTCTTTAAAATCAGGGAGCAAGAAAAGCAACATTGAATTTCACATACTGATTTTGTACATCTTCTATACAGTACCTTGACTTAAATCCAAGAGCAAAAGTTAAGACTCTTCTCCTCTATTTTTGGTAAACAACTGCATGGTAAACTTGGATGACTTTCCCCCCAGGATTTTACCTGGGAGTAGCCTTTTAATTTTTTTATTTAAAAGAGGGCAGGTTTGGCACTTTTATACTGATGTCACCAATGTTAATATTTCTTGGGATCTCAGGAAGATTCATATTCTTTACAGCTGATACCGCGCGGGCTGGAGCTCCTGCTAAGCCAGCCTCAGATTTCTCCAGTTTATTTTGTGCATCAATTTGTGTAACAATCTCATTCATGTTGGTCTCCAATACCATTCCCCCCATCACCATTTCTGCAAGAATATTGTGAACCTTATCTACATGGAAAATTAAATCCAGTTCACAGACATTTTCAAAACACTTGTCTAATGTTTCCACGAATACTTGAATTAGATCTAAAATGCCAAGTTCACTTTCTGAAGAATCCACACAGAAGACAAAATATAATGTTGCATAATGTCTATATATTAGTTTGTTGTCAGATCCTCCTATTAACAATCCGCCTTCTAGGAAATTACAAACATTTTCATCTCTCTTAGATACCAAATGGAATGTCTCCCTGATGATTTGTTGTTGTGTATCTTCACTGTAGGGCTGGTAGAACTTGGACAGCCGCGGCTTGCCGTGGTTGTTGAAGATGAGGATAGCCTTGATCATGGCTGGGCCGGGCCGCCCGGGTGGGCGCTAGGGGGCCACGGCGGGGGCGGGCGCGCGAGCCTAGCCTCGAGAACCTGCCGGTGTTTCTTCCCCACCCGCCCCCCTCCAGTTTGTTTCATAGTCAAGATTATCTCATTTTTGGAATTTCCCCAAACTCTTTTATAGATGGTTCTTAACGTAGTTTGCAGGGAATGTGAATGGCAGTGGAACTCAAAATCCATTTGTAGGGTCCACACAAGGATTAAGCCTCTGGTGAATCCTCTCTGAATATAGTCTAGGGCTGTGAATGGCTGTCCTGTGAGACAGAGAGCACTGTAAAGTCGATTATGGCAGATCTAGTTAGGTTAAAAGTGTAAGGCCCCTGTGCCAACTAGAGCTGTACTTCAGTGTCTCAGTTTACTCATCTGTCGCATAGTCCTAAAGTACCCGGGCCATAGGGTTTCTATGAAAAAGAAATCCAGATGGATGTATGGATTGTGATAAGAACTGTACGAGCCCCAATAAAATGATTTGTTTTAAAGAAAGAAAAAGGAATCCATTATTACATGTAAAATGGATGGTGCATAGTGAGTGCCTAGTTATTCAGTCACATAGGTGATTAGAATTCCACCTGGATACATTAGAATGGCAGTTCATAAAATGTGGATGTAACTAGGAGGGAAAAAAAACACCCTCTCCTTTCAGGCTAATATTACAATATTATAAGTAGTTATTTGTGATGGTTAAATGATTTTCTGTCAACTAGACATTCCTGCCTAGGAATGGTATTTAACCTGTCAATCAGGTCACAGCCTGATGGTGCTTCCTTGGGGGTATGGCCTACTCATAAGGAGGGCCTGGGAACCTCTCTCTCTGCCACTGTCCCTGAGAGATACTGGAGCCCTGCCATGTTTCCACCAACCTTCGATCCACACAGCCCTGCACCCACCGGCCTGTGATTTTCCTGCATTCTGCATCAGTGCATGTAGCTGCTTGAGTATGAAGAAGGACTTATGGACTAGTATGGACTTGATCTGGACTGCTGGGATGGAATGTTTGATTAATGCATAATTACTTCTTGATATAAAGGTCTTTCTTACGCATATGAGCATCACTGGATTCATTTCTCCAAGAAACCTGCTTTAACACCTCATATAATACAGATTTCTTTTTTTAAATCGTTTTATTAGGGGCTCATACGACTCTTACCACAATCCATACATACATCAATTGTGTCAAGTACATTTGTACATTCATTGCCCTCGTCATTCTCAAAACATTTGCTCTCCACTTAAGCCCCTGGCATCAGCTCCTCATTTTTCCCCTCCCCCCGCCCCCTCCCTTATGAACCCTTGATGACTTATAAATTATTGCTTTGTCATATCTTGCCCTGTCCGACGTCTCCCTTCACCCACTTCTCTGTTGTCTGTCCCCCAGGGAGGAGGTCACATGTAGATCCTTGTAATCTCTTCCCCCTTTCCAACTCATGCTCACTCTACACTCCCAGTATTGCCACTCACACCACTGGTCCTGAAGGGATCATCTTCCCTGGATTCCCTGTGTTTCCAGCTCCTATCCGTACCAGTGTACATCCTCTGGTC